AGTCAGAATATTAGTGGCACACCTGTCAGCAACTGGAAGTGCATAAGTCCATGTACTTCCCTTCCCTGTCGCACAACTCAATCCATACATCCTTTACTTTTCAGACACATATTTTTCTCCTAAGCTCCTTAAAAAAACCCACAAAGTATACTGTAATTAGCAGGAAAAATAAATCTAGCACCCCTGAATTCTTTCCCCAAGGGGGAAAGGAAAGTTCACAGCCTGCAGGTTGCTAGCAAAGTTGTCAAAGAACGTAGTTATTGCTCAAAGGCAAGAATAAATAACAAATCAATTGTGCAGCTCTCTCCTGTCACTACATCCTCTTACCTCCAGAATGTGGCCTGGGATTGCACAAGGGCCTAGGCCAGTGATGGCGAACCTTTTAGAAACTGAGTGCCCAAACTGCAACCCAAAACCCACTTATGCATCGTCGGGTGCCGGGTGGGTGTGGCCCATTGGGTGGGCGTGGCCCATTGGGTGGGCGTGGCTGCGGTGGTAACGGCAGACTGGGTGGGACTAAAAAGTTCAATCAAACAATTCCAACTTTGCAAAATCTTTTTTTTCCCCGCGAGAAGTTGAAATTGATTGATTGATTGATTGAACCTTTTTTTTTTTTTGCACATGGCGGCGGAGGCCTAAACCGAAAAGATTTTATAAAACCCAGCTGAAGGCCGAGGACTGGGGCGACGGCACGCGTGCCCACAGAGAGGGCTCTGAGTGCCGCCTCTGGCACCCGTGCCATAGGTTCGCCACCACTGGCCTAGGCTAAAATCCGGGTGAGTAGTTTGCAGCCAGGTGTTCAGTACAGACCTTGCCAAGGTGATTTTAATAGCCCAGGAAGGGATAGGAAAACCAGAGGAAAACTTTGCAATCAATCAAACCATGGTGGACTACACTTGTTTTGCCCTCTTTTGATTCTGCTCCCCAGCAGCAGCCCATCGATTTCAGAACTGCATGGCCACAAAGATAGAGGCCTTCAGCCTCCCAATCCCTGCTTAGAGAGGGATTTGAATTTCGGCCATACGCCCCCAATCAAAGGAAAAATCTGAATCCAGCGGGCCAGAAGGCAGCTCAGCCACCGTGCCCCTCCGGTTCCTTTTTCTCACTCCCTGGGCACAGACGTAGTCGCTGCTCCTCGCCTTAGCTGGGGCGGGACTTGCAAGTACCTCCATCCTGCAAAGTGGTGCTCCCCTGGCGCTCCCGCCCGCTGCCATGCCGGCAGCCCCAACTAAAGGCCGGACGCTCCAGGTTCGCCCTGTCAAGGAAGGGGGAGGCAGCCGAGGCTACATCAGATCTGCAGCTTGTCAGCGGCACTCAAAGGCTGCCCAACTTTACTCCGGGATTTTGGGGTTGGAAAGCAGAGGGGAAGTGCTGCGTTTGCAGACCTGGCGGAATCTGCTGGAAACCCTCCTGCTTCCCCCCCCTCCCTGCAGCTACCTCCTTCGGAGCTGTCCTGATTCCTACGGGCCTGCCGGCATAGATCCGCCAGCTTCGTCCTGCAAAGTGTGGTTCACCCAGTGCTCCTGCTCGCCGGCAGGCCTGTTGGAATCAGGACGGCTCTGAAGGAGGTAGCTATGGAGGGGGGGGAGAGAAAGCAGGAGGATTTCCAGAAGTTGCCGCTAGACCTCCAAACGTGGTGCTGCCCCTCCACTTTCCAACCCCCAAATCCTGGATTAAAGTTGGACAGCCTTTGAGCGCCCCTGACAAGCTGCCGTCCCCTTCCTTGGCTGGGCGAGGCTGGAGTGCGCGGCCTTTAATTAGGGCTGTTGGCATGGTACCAGGTGAGCGCCATTTGCAGGACGAAGCAGACAGAGGTACTTGCAAGTCCACCCCCAGCTATGGCAAAGAGCAGCGACTGCGTATGTGCCCAGGGGGCAAGGAGGAGGAAACTGAGGGGCGCGGTGGCTGGGCTGCCTTCTGGCCCGCTGGATTTCGGGTTTTCTTTTGATTGTGGGCTGGGGTGGGCCGACCCCTCGCTGTCTCCAGGGCAGCCCCGGGCCAAATGTACACGTCCTGCGGGCATGTCTATACCCTCCTTCTCCTTTTGTCTTTGGTGTAGCTGCAACTGACTCCTTTCCCCAAGGTGCGCGCAGCTTCCGGAAGCACCAGTCAGCTGGAGCCTGGCACGGATCCTGGGTGCTCAGCAGAGCCCCGGCAACACCGCGGCTCCACCTGGCTCTCCCACAGGCCTGTGCTGCGTGGCCGCCCATGCTACTCTTTTACACTTTTTTACATTTTTGTACAGGTGGTTTTCAACCCATCATAAGCGTACCACCTGCCAGGTGCCGACGTATCACCAGTGGTATGCTTACCACCGGTTGAAAAGCCCTGCTCTAAAGAACCAAAAATGTGTGGCAGAAATGTTCTTCCAGTGTTTCCAATCACTGTTTTCAGTAGCATGACTTAAAGCATTCTTTGCCATTTAAATTAGTGGACAGACAAAACAGATCTTTTGCTAGGAAAAAAAACACTAGTACTACTGTATGTTCCTTTTCTTGTAAAGATAATGTCAACAAATGAAAGTAATTCTACTCCCCTTTATTATTATTATTATTATTATTAATTTGATTTATATACCGCCCTTCTCCCGAAGGACTCAGGGCGGTGCACAGCATATTAAAAACAAGTAACAATAAAATACCAAAATAAAATAAATAAATACCAAAATAAAAACCCCTCTAAAACCAAATTAAAAGCCAAATATTAGTAGCTGTGTCGTAATTAAAATTATATTAAA